GTGATAGCAGCCTGGACCATGGTGGTGGCATTGGAACAGTGAGATTCTGGGTATATATTGGAGATGGAAAATACCGTGATGAGGGATTGGTTTTGGAGTATCAGAGGAAGAAAGAGGTCAAGGATGACTGCAAAGATTTTTGTCTGGGCAGCTATATAAATAGTCATGCTATTTACTAAGACGGAAAGACAGGCGCAGTGGGATGGGAATCAAGAATTGATTTCTGAATATTTACATATTCAGACACATATTACATACGTGGCTCATATATTTCTATTGGATATCACTGGTCTAGACAACTCTTTGGAAGAGTTTTATTATTAAGAGGAGTAGAGAAATGGGACAATAGCTAGAGTGAGATCATGAAAGGGAATCTATTTATTTATAAGGTGGAAGATACTGCATCAGTTTGTGCTGATTGGAATGATACAGTTAAGCGAGAAGAGTTGGTAGTACAAGAGAGAGGTGACGATGTCCTTGTGTGGACAAGTGGAGGGATTGGTCTTAGATAGGAGCCTAGTGTTTTATCCGTAGTAACTGAGGGAAGACAACATATACAGGTATGTGTGTAGATATGGGTTGGTAAGTACATATGGTGACAGGAAGATGAAGTTCAAAGTGAGAACAAGGGAGGAGTTAGTGGTTTTAGAGAGAGACAGAGGTATGGAATTGTTGTCAGGAGAGTGGAAGAGTGAATTTATTACGGAAATGTAGTAGAGTTGTCTTGCAATGGTTCTGAAGGAACTCTGGTCACATGCTAGAAATACTTTGGGTCAACAAGTTAATCAATCAATCAGAGTTCCAACAAGAATCTCAAGAAGGGATTATTTACAAGATATTATCAGGATATAGAAAAACTACAAAGGATAGTGTTGTACCCGGGGGCTCGTAACAACAGAGCTCCCTTACTAGCCCTAGACCTGAATCCACAGACAGAGAGAGCGGTATGGAGAAGGGGCCTTGGACAGCCGACAGCTGCTATCAGCTTTGATTGAAGAACAGAGACCACCACCCAGCGTGGTGCTTCAGGAGGGAGCCAGGGGAATAATTTTGCCTTACCTACCTTCCTTTCATCTCTTGCATGTGGCTGAACCCACCTGAAAATGGGGTGAGACAAGGGAATTTGTTGATGCAGTCAATACAGGTCAGCCTCCCAGGACTCAGAGAAGACTAGAGGGGCACATGGAAGTTATGCAACACTACATAGTTGTGTAATTTTTTCCTCCAGACATATGAATATGGAAATATTCATCCATATTTCTACTGTGTAGAAGAACCATATTTGATATTTCATTATTTTTGATAAAGAATGAGAACATAGTCTACAAACTGGAGCCCTATTATTTTTTAAGCATTGAATACTCTTCACGTGGATATATTACAGGAAACTTCACCATTTATTCACTGAGTGGCAAATATTTACTGAGTGTTTACAATGTGGTAAGTTTTATAATAAACACTGGATATACATCAGTTTGTAAAACAGGTATCCTTCCCTTCATGCAGCTTACAGTTCAGTGGTATAGCCACCCTAAACTATTTTTGGACATGTAAGTTTTTTCCAGACTTTTTGTATAACCTGCCATTGAAAATCCTATTTAAATCTCTTCACATATACTTCATAATTGCTTCAGGATACATTCCCGGAAGTTTCGCCTTATATACCTAGAGTCTAAATTTCAGACCATACCCTTTTGTTAAAGCCCAATTCAAGGCCTTCCTTCATTACTGTGTCCCACCTGATATCCCAATTTGGGGAATATAAAGGAATTCTCTGTATAAGAAATTCTTTATATTTAGTATATATGACATACAATTTAGCCCTTGTTCATATGCTGTTTCATGTTACAATTTTTTCTTTTATATATGTCTTTCACAAAAATGTAAAATTTTCAAGAGATGAGTCTGTTTCTAATAATTTTCTTTCTCTCAAAGTATTTGACAAACCTGAGCAGGTAATTGTTCTCCAACAATTATTTTCCTTTG